GCAAGGCTCACTTCCTGCAAGACACCCCTGAGGAGAAGCCACATGGACCTACCCTGATGCAGCCCTGGGTGCTGGAGCACCCGTGTGGAGAGGAGACCCCTGCCAGTGCTGAGATGCTTACTTGTTCACTGACTGGGTTTTCCTCCTGCAATTGGCATCATTGTGTGTGTTTTGTGAGATGGAGGAGGACTTTGTGGATTGGTGTCAGACGTAAGAGCTAATGTTGGACTTGTGGGCTTGGGCAGCACTGGGTTGGGATGTCTTCTTGATGTGCACTTACCCTTTATAGAAAACTCATGAGTTTCTGTGGATTCGTTTCCCTCATTTACGCAGACTGACACAGGCATGCCTGTGGCACCACTTTCAATATTCTTCAATAGACACAAACCACACTGTAGCGTGGAGGGGCCATCGGTAGACTTTAGGGTAAAATGTGCGGCTAGCGCTGAGACAAGTTATGATACTAAGAGGGCCAGTCATTCAGGAAGCGACAGCAATTGTAAACACACACGCATCTCACCACAGAGCCTCAAAACAGAGGGATGGGATTGGTTGCCACGGAGAGGGGAGACCACTCGGCTACAATGGCTGGAGGCCTCGGCACAAGACTGGGTGGAACCAGGAGGCAGGAGATCGAGGAGACTTAGGCCACACTATACATCACTTATTTGGCCCATCACCCCCTTTCCGGAAGAACAATGACAGCGTTCCCTGGCAATTAAAATCTTTGTCTTATAGCCCATCGCCCAGGATAAACTATAGGCATGTTTCTGCAGCCCCCGGGATTGTTCCAGTGGCTCCCAAGGGGTGGCACTGCCCACTCTAGGAAGCGCTGCTATAGACTAAGCCCTAAGAGACCTAAGCAGGGCACCCCACCTAAAGCTGTCAGAATAGGACCTTCTGATCCGGTACGTGGGGAGCAGTCCCAAGGGTGCACCCTAGTGGATGAAACAGGCCTGGTACGTTTGGAAAGACTGGAGACGGACCGGATGCGTTCTCTGGTCACAGTGGAATTAAGCAGGAGGGCAACGCAGACAGAAGTTTGGGGAAGTCAAGTTACGAGGGCCCTAAAGAAGCACCCACGTGCCAGAGAAGAGATCAAGCAGGAGGCCAGAAAGTGCCGTGTGTGAGAGTGCGTGTACACCTAGCTCGGCGGCTGAGCACGAGACCACCCTCCATAAAGATGAGCCGGATCTTAAAACACCAGCAACACATGAGAAGAGAAAAGGACTGGCTGATCCCATGAACCAGGTCTGGAGATGCCTGGTGGCCTAGCGGTTACACTTCCGCCTGCTAACCTCAAGGCCAGCAGTTCGAAACCACCAGCTGCTCCACAGGAGAAAGATGGGGCTTTCTACTCCCGTCAAGAGTGACAGTCTCAGAAACTCTCAGGGGCAGCTCGACCTTGTCTTCCAGGGTCGCTGTGAATCAGCATGGACTCAAGGGCAGTGAGCTGAGTAGCTTTAAGAACAGGTCATTCAGCATCCCAGATCCAATTCTGACTGCTCTGGGATCAGGATCACCGGTCTCTGGAGGTGGGTTGGAGATGGTCATTGGTGTGGTGAGTCCAGCCAGATCTGGGCTGGCTTCCCACTCCCAGGCCTGCTGTATGACCTTGGCTTTGATGTCCAGATACTGAGGGCTGTCATCTTGCTACCCAGCCTGGGGGTCAGGGGGGTGGGGGGCGTGGTCTCTAGAGCCTGGTACTGTAGCGCCTGGCCCACGGCTCGGGCTCAGTATCTCAAAGCAACTGGCACCGAAAGTACAAACCAAAACCAGACAGACGCAAAGAGAGCCCACTGCCGTGGGGTCCTTGACGACTGCCTGACCCTACAGGGCAACAGCGCTGCCCCTCTGCCCCGCCGCGCTCCATGGCTCCCATAGCCACAGAAGCAGGCACCACGCCTTCCTCCTTCAGAGCCACTGCTGGGTTCCACTAGTGACCTTTAGGTAAGCAGCCTTGCGCTTAACCCAGGCGCCACCAGGGACCCCGGCATCTGTTGCTGTGGAGATGCTGACTCTAGAACTGCTCCCCTGGCTTTCCTGGTCTCCCACCTTCATGGAGGGGTGCAGGGCTGAAAGTGCTCAGAGGGTCAACCTGCCAGCTGCCCCGCGGTACAAAGATGTGGCGCTCTGCTTCCGTAAAGATTGATGGCTTGAGAAACCCCGTAGGGAACTGCCCTCCTGCCTTCCAGGGTCACCGGGAGTCGGAGTCAACCCCATGGCCATTGATTTGGACTCTTTATGGGAGCCGACTGCGGTCTCCTCCCACAGCTGCCGGCCTTTCTGTTCCTAGTTGCTCGTTCAAACATGTGTAACCCCACGCCCACTCCAAACAAAACACACCAACCCAAGCCAAACCCACTCCCATCGAGTTGAGTCCATTCCAACTCTGAGGGGCCCTGTAGGACTGAACCCATATGGGTTCTGAGGGCAGAAATCCGTATGGGAGCAGTTTTCCCTGGGAGCGGTTTTGGTGGGTTT